GAAGACAGAATTTTAAATTTTATTAGAGTGAGAGACTACAAAACTAGGATCTGATGTTTGCAAGTGACTGCTGGAGTGGGATATGGGTATACACTGGCTCTCGGAAGCCTGTCATACTTGCCACGTTTACAGGTGAGGGACTTTCTTATAATCTGATTTTGATTTTTCCTGAAGAAACTGTGTCAGTGGTGCAAGCAAGTAATTTTTTTTTGCCTTTTTTTAAAATCCTATGGCAGAAGCCTGCAGAAATGTTTTCCAAACAAATTAGCAAAACCTGGTCTCAAAGATTTAGTGAAAAAGAGCACTAACAATTTAAATTAGGTGTGGTGAAAAATAGGAAGCACCTTTCTAAGTGTGAACAGCATGTCTGATAGACCTGGGTTCCCAGCCAACCCTGCAACTCCAAGTTTTCCTCCAAAAGAGATCTAGGGTGTTATAAAGGGTTTGTATACTCAAATGAATCTGAAGAGCAGTCTGCTTCCTTTTTCAAGATCCCGCTTTTAAAATGTTTACCTTGTCAAATATAGGAACAGTGAGACTTCATTAAATTTTTTGAGGTAAAATTACCAGTGGAATTAATATAAGCCTCAAAGTTATATGTTAAAACAAGGTGATGTTCATTTGCAGTATTGGATAAAAATTCAGGCTCATTCACTGGCCGACTTATGTTTTCATAACTTGTAGTTCTAGTTTCATCTACATTGTGGCTTCTAGGTATCACCTTTTTAGCACTTTTCGTCCTTTGTCTCAGCTTTAGCCAGGAAAAGCAGGAAGAAAAACAGATCCAACATCCTTAGCACAATTCCTGTTCGAGTTTGCAAAAGAATTCTTGAAATCTTTGTACATAGAGAAGAAGAGTTCAGTTGCTTTGGTGTTGCATCAGGAAAGTCCTGACCAGTGGAGATGTTTGCTCAGTTGAATTTCTGGCTTCGATATGGTCTTTGGTTCCATCATACTGAATGTTTTTTTGCGGTAACTTGCTCTCCTCGTGGTTTCCTTTCTGACATCTCTAGTTCTGCTCAAGACTTACGCCTTGTGCATTTTACTCAACCGGAGGTATGATCTCCATTTTGCAGACTGTACCCTGAGTTTGTTCACCCAACAGATCTGATTGTATTGTGTAACTGTAGGTCTTTCTTCCCAGTGTTGTCTTTTATAGCCATGTCAAGAATTATTCTTACATTTAGAGCAATTTTTTTAAAAAAACAAGTGTGTATTTAGGGTTGCTGATCTACTTTCCTCCTATACCGATAATACTGAATTGTATTCTCGTAACTATCCAGAACAATTTCCCAACAGCTGTCTCTTTTAATAAAGCCCATGTTTAAATTTTGAAATTTTTCTTTTGGGTGTTTCTGAATGTCATGCTGTCCAGCGTGCTTTATTATTGTTGCTGTAGGTGCTTACTGCGTAGTGGTGTATCTTGGCCATTGTTTTTCTTTTGGTTTTTTTGCCCTGACAATGTCCCTTGATGTTCATCCGTTATTAAGGTCAGTACAGACAATATTATGAAACAGATGCACGTCCATTAAAACCTTGTTAGGAGATGTTATCATATTTCTTTGCACACGTAATTAATTCTGGCTTGACTTAATGCCTCGATGGAAGGTGAAATCGCTGCTCAAGGATGCAGTGGTAAAGTCCCCTACTTTTGAATTTTAAACTGCTATTCTTGTGGCACTGGATTACAACTTGTGAGCTGGATCACTGTCTGTCTTGCCTGGTGAAAGGTAGTAAGGATTTGCAGCTCATATGCTGTAGCCTGGGATTCTTCATGGGCCAGGTGTCAGCTTCTCCTAGAGAAACAATTTATTAGACCCTGGCCTGGTGAGTTCTGGCAGTGGTATATGCTCGCTCTTGTGCCATCGTTCTGTATCACATAGCTTACATGAGAACATGATTATCAAGAATGATGTTGTAAAATATGTCCTTCATCCAACCATACAGATCTAGTTCGAGGCCTTGCTTTTGATCGGTTTGGCATTAGGCCTCAATGTAATAGGCTCTCAGATAAGGTATCCAGAGTGAAATGTGCTTGTTTAAAAACACTTTTCTCCTTTTTTTGTTACAACTGGTGTTCTGAAGGTCACTGTGCCCACTGCAAGTTGAGTCGCCAACTTTTTCTGCAAGGAATTTTTAGGGGACACTGAATTGGTGAGGAGAGAAGGTGGGTTTTTTTGGTTGGTTTTGAGATCAGCACTTAAAAAGCTTTTGACTTTCAGAATTTGGCTTTTAAAATCTCTTCTGGGGTGCTAGATTTTATTTAAAATTTATCTTTACATTAATGCTATACTGTGCTTAAACTCTGAATAAGATTTAATCAATTTGAATAAATAAAAGCTGCTGGCCAGCTTCTGCATTGACATTGTTTTATAATATCAGTATGTTGCTGTCAGATTCAGTCAAAAGCAAGATTTATCTTTAAGTGACTGAAAGACTGTAAAAATACCAACAGAATGAAATTGATTTTCAAGGACAATGTCCTGTGACGGTATTCAGATTGGGTCTGACTTAGAGATTCAAAAATACTGTATGGCTAACTCATGATGGGGCATCCTTTATTGGTAATGCTTTTACCTTTAATGCAAAGCTCTATAAAACTGTCCTTTGTGTGAGATAAATCTTTATGTATCTGGCATGCAAAAGAAAGCTAACTGACTCTAGAAGTGCTTGTTTCACGGTTAATTTATGCCATTATAATCGTATTTTAATTTCATTTCCTTGAAGGGAAGCTGGAGCTGGACATCTAAGCATTGTTTTCTGTAAGCTATTCTCAGCCTGCACACCAGCAGTCAACAACAAATGTTCAGTTCATTTCAGTTTGAGCACTGTGAATACCATTTGGCCCTAAGTTAGAGAAAAAGAAAAGCTCAAGCGGGGAAGCATTTTAAAAGAAAAGAATGAAGGTAGTTTTTTTCTTACTCAAAAGGCAGAAAAGACAGGACAATCTTAATTTACTTTTAAGCTCCACAATCCACAGCCGAATTGCTTTGCAGTTGCACTAGCTGTAACCCCTGAGAGGAATATATTTCCTCAGTTGCAGAAGAGGGCAGGGGTTGGAGAGAGGTAAAGCTTCAGTGTTGCTTAAAGTTTTTTGAGAGGGCAATGTTTCTCATACAAAAAAAAAAAAAATCCAAGCAGGCTACTGTGATAAATGATCACAGATTTTTGAGCAGTCTTAGCTGATGGAAGTGAGTCATCAGCTGCTTGGTTACATGTAGAGCTTGGTTATTTCAGGGGGATGTCTTAGTGTGGGGAAAAGTTCTGTAATGGTGTTTGTCAAAAAGGATATTACAGGTTTTATGATAGCGATGGTGAAAATAGGATACCCATCCAGATCCTTTCTTCTGCTGTCACTCTCCTCTTTCCTTTATTTGAGACTTGAATGCTGGGGAGGCACAAATATAGTGTGTGAAACATCTAATGGAAGTGAAAATTGAGATTGGCAGAGTTTTACTATTTATGATACTAGTTCACAGATAAGAATTGCTTAGCAATGACGAACAAACAGAAATTAAGGTGTGAGGTTTTTCTTCAGTTGAAGGAACCTTTTGCTTAAGAAATGATTATTCATATCCTAAACTAGCGTAGAAGTCTCATATTGAAAAAGACTATTCAAAGTTTTATTTGAAGTTAACTGGTAGTACAACCACCTGAATGGGTATTTCAAAAGCACCTATAATACTTCTTGCTTATCTTGAACCTTTCATACATGGAAATCTAAGTGCATTATGAGTGGAGGGGAATTTTGTTACTGCCTACAGATATATAGACTTGAAAGAGTGGAGGGAAAATGTGCAAAACCACCCTGTGAAATGACACTAAGCCTTTGCTCTGTGCCTTATGGAGTTGCTTCCCTTTTTGTCTCCACTGGACAAAACTGGCTGCTTCAGAAGAGTCACTGCTGTTAGTTGTCTGCTGGGGATTGATTTTTGGTTATGTCTGTGGCAGGGGTGACAATATGAGGAATTCCTTGCATGATATGAACCTATATATGATCCCGTGTATGTCACAGAAGCATGTAATTGCAATGACCATTTGTGCCATTTGATGTTAAAATGAAGCAAAACAAAGTGAAAATACAGGATTTCTTTAGAAATTATTGTCTTGTCACAGACACCACGGTAAGTTGTGATCAGTAACTCAAAGGATACTTCATGGAATACTTTTTTGTATTTAAATGCATCATTTCTTCATGTTCACTAAGTCTTGATTTTTACTTCATTTACCGTGCTATGTTACCCATGGGCTTCTAAGGCCTGAATGTGAGATGCTTTAAATGAAGGATTCGTCCTTTGGAAGGACCTATTTGCTCATCTAAGATCAAGGCTGAAGCAGTCTGTGATGCAGGATGTGGTAGTGCTAACAGTTTTCGTGCTGCAGACGGTTGACTAAGGTGTATTTATCAGAAAGTAAGGGAAAAGTCTATCTGTTCTCATAGTGCAGCTGGGAGCTTTTGCTTGAATGCATACCAGTCTGTACTAGCAAGCTGACCTCATATCTCTGCCCAGTGATGTCTGAGGAGTAGAAGCAGGCAGGGCTACTTACAATGTGATCAAGTGACATCAACTGGGGCCACAAGACTATTTCACTCTTGGGCTGTCTTAGGACCTTTCTTGCAGTAGCCTTTTTCTGCTTCTCCCAAGCTACAAGTCTCAGTTGATCATGAAGCTGTCTACTGGAGCTCAGCTTCAAGGCAGCTTTCTTATTCCAGCTCTGTTGGCGGTGGCTGAATAGAAATGAAATCTGCCATATGTTATGGTACCAATTTCTTGTGCGCTTTTTTTAAGTTTTCCACCATTTTGTTTTGAATGAGAGGTGCCATTTCCTAATTCTACTTCTGTAGCATTGGCATTATTAACACCTAAGGAGATAGTACAGGGCTTGGGAAAGAGAAGTGGAAAACACCCCATCCTTTTCTTAGCTCTAAGTGAGATAAATCAAAACTTCTGAAGTCAGAAGACTGGCTAAGAATCCATCTGCATTTTTTCATTGCAGTATACATGAAGCTCAAGATCTGAACCTGCTATGACTGACCCAGACGTCCTCACTGAGGTCCCAGCAGCTCTCAAACGCCTTGCCAAATACGTGGTGCGTGGCTTTTATGGCATTGAACATGCTTTGGCTTTGGACATTCTCATCAGGAACCCCTGCGTGAAGGAAGAGGACATGTTAGAGCTCCTTAAGTTTGATAGGAAGCAGTTGCGGGCTGTCCTCAACACCCTCAAGGGTGACAAGTTCATCAAATGCAGGATGAGGGTAGAGACGGCTCCAGATGGCAAAACCACCCGTCATAACTACTACTTCATCAACTACCGCCTTCTGGTTAATGTGGTGAAGTACAAGCTGGACCATATGAGGAGGAGGATTGAGACGGACGAAAGAGACTCCACCAATCGCGCCTCTTTTAAATGCCCCATTTGCTTCAGCACTTTCACAGACTTGGAGGCCAACCAGCTGTTTGACCCCAGGACAGGTAAGAGTACAAGTAACAGAATGCTCTTGCTCTCTCCTTTGTCTGTAAGTGCTAGATTTTAAGGAAGCAGAGTCTTAGGAAAATTCTCTTGAGTTTGGCTGGAGCTAGAGAGTACTCTGTTTCTGCAGGTGGTAAATGTTTGAGCAAAATACAAAAGTAATGTATACAGACTTACACAGTCTGTACAGGCAAATAGCAATGTTGGTAAAATGCTTGAGTGACAAGCAGTAGAGTAATGGAGGTCTTATCGCAATCAAATTCAAGGGTGAATAAGGCAGTCTGTCCTTGTTGGAAGCTGGCGGTTTTTCAGTATAACCTGGTTTTGCCTGTAAACTGTATGACTTACTGGTAGTTTGCAGAGAGGGCATATGTATAGTTGACTTTGCTATGCAAAAAATTTTTAATTTAGAGATGGTCATGCAAGGAGTGAGTTGTTACTGTTTAATTTTCTTCTAGCCAGATCATTATACTGCACAACCTTGTTTCCCCAGTGTAAAGCAGTCTCACGAAAGTTAAAAGAAATTAATTACAGACTCGTCTGTGGTTGGGAGTAAACAAGATTCTTTTTCAAGTGTGTGTCTCAGTCTCAGTGGAGGTGCATACCTGTTTCGTGCATATGAAATAAGAATCTTTTCTGGGTGTCATTGTCTACAGGGGCAGTCCCAATACTTTGCGCTTCCATGCCAGGGAGGAAAAAGAAGAACGCTTGCACCTGATGAGATCCTGTTTTGCTAGTCTAATGTGGAATTATTTTGGGGGGAAGGCAGGGAGCAGGGGTTGGGTGTTAGGTTTCCACCTTCTGAATTAGTTTCTTTACTTTTTAATTTTTCCTTTTGAATTCTTTGTCCTGATCTTACTTTTCCATAAAAATAAAAGAGCAAAAGTCAGGAGAGCTCTCAGAAACATTGCAGTGTGGTGCTTTGTGTCAGTTATCATAATAAGAAATTGTAAAAATTCACTGTTTAGTGGTATTGAAACTTTTAATCTAGGGTTACTGATGTCTAATCTGCTCTGGAGAAGGGCAAACACCCAACAAATGTTCAGCCTATCATTTTCCCTCTTTCCTGCCTCCAAAGATCAAGACCTGTGAAACTCTTTTCACTTGAACAACCATGAAAATTATATTTAGTACTAGAGAAGCAGAATCCACTGTCAAGTAACAGTCGTTGGTGCAATCCAGCGCAGCTCTCCAAGTAGAAGTTGCTCCCTCATAGAGCACCAAAACCGCCAGTGCTAGCACAGATTTTCTAAACTCACCGCTGAGTATAGAAACTACACATGCTCTCTACAGTAATGATCATCTGTGGCAGCTACAGTCGTGGGTGTCGGGCTGAAGGGGAATAGCGCTTTTGCAGTTTGCTTCAGTAAGGAGAGAGTAGAGAACCTGTGCAGTGAACAAACACAGTGGAGAGTGTGAGACACTCATCCCAAGGGACCTGTAACACTTTGCAGGTGAATCCTTCCGGCCTGTGTGGGCGGTGAGTTCCAAGAGCAAAGAACTGGCTGTCGAGGAGATGCAGAAGACAATAATGCTGGGATTCGGCTTTGACAGCAAGGCCTGTGCTCCAGGAACTGATGAGGTCAACCAAGGGTTTGTCTGCAGTACAGGCACTGGCTGCCTTCACAGTGCGAAATCACTCACTAGCACATGAAGCGTTTTGCAGTTTCGCTGATGGGAGGAAAGGTTGAGTGCTGTTTTCCCAGCAATTCCCAGCAGTTGGTTTCTGTCAGTATTAACGCAAATAGCAAGATAGCCAGTTTACCTTCACTCACTTTCAATAAGAACATACCTATCTATAATTTATGTATATTCTGTTTCTCCTTATATAACTTCTAAGTCTATGATAGGTTCATCTAGATAGTGCGTGATGATACTGTTGTTTCTCAAGAGCTTTTACATGGAATACCAGTTTGGATAGGGCTCTCCAGTTACTGTTTAAGAAGGTCTCATACTGTCTCCAAACCGTGAGACAGCTGCTTGTTTCCATTCTGGGTAAGTGAGGAATTTTGTTTGTTATTTTAATGAGGATGGCTGCTTTATATTGCAGTGGATTGTGTTGTCTGTATGTGTTTCCTGCTCCTCTGGAATTCTGTATTAGAAAAGAACTGAGACACCTTTGGGTGCCTTCACAGAGGGAGCTCGTGAGGACAAGGCGTGTAGAGGAACACGGTTTGTTAGACAGTGAATAGCCATCCTTTTCCAAGGATGTCTTTAGCCCTTACCAGCGCTGTACATAAACCTCTCCCACTCATTGAAACTCATGGCAGTACAACTGCTGAAGGGTAGCTGAAAGGCACATGAATTTCAGTCACAGTTGACCTGAGCTGCTCCTGGACTGCAGCCATATTGATAAAATTTCGTGAATTAAAATGCCTGCAGGGCCAAAGTCTGTTAGTCCATGAAGCAGGTACAGCATGGGAGGCATCCTCTGCACTAATCTAGACCAAGCTGCACTTAAATTGGCGATCTGTTGTTAAAAGACATCGTGTTTCACTGTCTTCTTTTTGTCCTTGTCACTCAGAGATGGGGATGGTTTAGATGTCCTGTGTTTTCTTCTGCTTCGCTTTCCTCTTCCCTAGTTACAACTCAAATGCAAACTCTGAGCAATTGTTGTAGAATGAAAGGGTTAGAAGAGGAGGTTATTGCTCTTGCCCTTCCTTATCAGTGATGATGAGGAGGTTTCCAGAATCTTTCCATGACTAGTCATTCTATTGCAATTTGTGAATTAAGACTGCTTGTGAAGAGCCTGTCCATAAGTTGGATATGTAGTGCTCAGCATCTGTGTCTGTCTCGGCTTTAGCAGAGGTCTGTTTCTTGTAGGTTACCAGCTGTCAAATGGAGGCTTTTTTAGCTCTGTGCTTCACTCCATTTGTGAATAATTTTGAAATAAACTGATGTGTTTATTTTTTCATCAGAAGATGTGGTTATTGGTGTTTTTGGAAGGTGGCAATGTGTCTGCTGAGAGAAAATAATTGATAGTAAGAAGGATATGTTTTCAGGGCACATAGGTATAGATGTGCTTTGGTTGCTGTTCATCCAATTAATTTGGAAAAATATTTTTGAGCAAAGTAGCAAGTTTGCCACTAAGGTAATTTTAAATGTAGTTTTTAAATGGTATAAATGGTACTTTGAGAGTGTGATCTTTCTGTTTTTAAAAGTATTATATTATTTTTCTCCATTCCTTTTTCTGCCATTCCATATCTCAATGCAAAAAAGCTCCAAAAATTTACTATTCTGTCAAAGATTGAACAAGTACTTGTAGAATACTTGTAGGAAGTTCAAGGACAGGAATCGTGTAATGTTAAAGAAACTGTCAGATAGTGAAAGTCAAAGTGACAAAAAACCTAGAGTTTTGCTGCTTCTTCAACTCACAAAGGGATCTTTTGAAAAGTGAAAAGAAACGCATGTTGTGTTGGAGGAGTCACTTGGCTGTATGACCAGTGAGAGCCTGCTAGCTCTAAACATGGCCTGCCCAGGTCATGAGTTTTAGCCCCATCTGCTCTAAATGAAGAGTTTGAACAGATCTCCAGATCTCACACTTTCTCCTCAGTGGCAGTTTTTACTGTTGCCTCCAAAGAAGCAGTATCAGTAACTTCTGCTTTTAGAGGCAAACAGCTTGGACACGGCGTGCTTTTATTTTTCAAAAGTTTGTTGTGGAAACTTGTAGCAAAGCTAAGAAGAACTCTCTGATTGAAGAGGTCGCAGATTTGCGGTTTGCCTATTGACCTGGCAGTGCCTTTGACGGGAATTGGTGCAAACTGGGTCATTAAAGGCTGAGCGGACAGTTATTACCCACTTTTGTGTTTGTTTTGAGATCTATAGGAAGAAAAACACTAATGCTGTATGAATGAAAAGTATTACTTTTAGCCTTGTGTTTCAGATGGGATGACTGAGAAGGGAAAAAGATTGTAGTTTTCCTAGAAGATCCTAATATAAGCACTTGAAATACAGATCATTGCCTTTCACTTGTGCCATTGTTTTCTTTCTACTGGTGCTCTGATATTTCATCACTCTTTGTTCTGCATGCTAGCAATTGCATGCAGCTGCCATTGTGATGAAGCCTCATGCAGGTGGAAAGCTGCAGCCATTCCCTTAAACAAGGTAAGGGCTATCTCTTGAGGCAGGGATGTACAAGAAAGAGTTTAATTGAGTAGCAGTAAGAAAAGACAGATGTTAAATGGATACTGTGAATAACACTGCTGAACTCTTGTCTATTCCCAGACCTGGGCTGACAGTGGACACTGACCTAACGGACTTCATCAGGCTTTTACACAGACCTGTGGGAAGAATTTTCTTCTCTGTGCTTTTAAATGTAGAAACTACAGAAATTTGGTTTCTGTAGGCCAATTCCTGAAATTGCAAAGTAATCTAAACAACTCGATACCATCTTGTGGATTGGAATTTAAAAAAAAAAAAATCTTGGCGAATTAAATATGCACAAGTCTCTTCTGCAGAGTGTGGGGGGAAGCACAGGAGGAGCTGCATTGTCTCACCCAGTAGAGGGAGCTGTCTTCTTTTCTCGGTATGTATGGGCTTGGGTTGATTAATTTATTGAATGTCACAAAACTGGAAATTGCGTTCATGGGTATGTGTTCTGTAGTGCGATTAACTGGGTCTGGTTGGGGAAGGTCTCTCTGATGTATCCTGTTCGCATACCCTAATCATATTTGTAAATCTAGTGTGGTGTTGGAGTTGACTGTCAAATTCAAGGTCAATTTGAAAGAAAGTATGTGACTAGAAACTGCAAAAGGGAGAGTGGAGTTGAAGTGAAGGACTGACAGAAATGAGATCCTGCAGTGCATCACACTGTTATTCAGCCCTGGATTTCCTTAGGTGTTCTAAATACCAAGCTGTATCAGGATACTCACCAGCATAGCAGGTGAATTTGATATTAGAAAGAAAATAGAAGGCTAGATGAAGTTGTTTGTCCTCTGTTCTCTTCTACCTTTGCAATATAATTTTTATCCAGTCTTGTGTTTCTTTCATTTCTGTTACTGTG